CTATCCCCAGCCTTCAGATCTCACCTTTTTAAGGAATCCTGCCCGTGCCACCCTGTTCAAGTGGCCCCTGGCCCTGTCTGCCCTGGCACCCTGCTCCCTGCCTCCGCAGCACCCGTGGCAAACAATGGTCTGTGTGTTTGCTCCTCCCAAGGTTGGAACAAGTCCTAGATTATGTCTGTCACATCCACCTGCCATTGTCCCTAGACCTCACCCAGCCCTGGTGGCATCAGTCAGGTGGTCTCTGTGGGAGAAAGGAGCCAGCGGGAGCCGCAGGGTTGGGTGTGGCTGGGCAGGTCATTTCCTGCCTCTGGACCCCACTTTGCAGACCTATAAAGGAGCTCAGATTTTTCTCAAAAGACCCTTCCAAATCTGACTTTTAGGGATTCTGTGAATACTGGAACTCAGCTCTCCAGGGACAAGGACACCCCCAAATGCACCTTTTGGACTAAAAAAATAAAAAAGAGTGACCACCTTAGGAAAGCAACGCAAGAGTAGGAAACATTTCCACACTTGGATAGAAAAGTAAAAATAGCGCTCGCTGAGGAGGAAGGGATGAGAGAAGGAGAGAGGAGATTGATAATGGATGAGTATAATGAGGTGGCAATTTTGGTTTCAAAAGAATGTGATTAGCTCCTAATGACTGCCACCATTCCCTGGTCAATCTACTGTAACTAGCCACTAATGTAAAAATAATGCCCCTGGCTCGCTCACTTTGAAGATGGAGATGAGTCTTCCTTTCCTACTTTCACCCCCTCAGATTCTTTTTCCTTGAAGAGATTATCCCCTATTAGGTTGACGCTCCCTAGGAAGGGAGATAGATGTGTGATCAAAGCCTGCCAATTAGGGGTCATTACCAAGGCCCCCTGGGCGGCTCCATCAGGCACTGCCTCTTTGCCTCTGTCAACATATCACAGTCCCCAGGCCCCCTGGGTCCCCTTCAGCCCCCAGGACGGGGAGATAGGGGCTCCTGGGCTGTGTCAGGGGGTGGCAGCATGCCTGCTGGGGTGTGTCCCAGAGGGCATGGCCTTGATGTTCAGTCCTGGGAGTGGCAGGAGGGACTTCATCCAATCTCTTCAGTATCACAGAACAGAGGGTCCGTGCTTGTTCTGTGAGGCCTCATGGGGCACAGGAAGGCAAAGTAAAGAAATTGGGGCCATGCTCTGCTCAAAAGAGAGGCAGGAGGATTTGGGAGGTGGTGAGCCTTCTGCCACTCTGGGTGTCCAAGGGATAGATGCTGTGCATCAACTTATCGGATGCCTGAAAGGCACGTAGACAGGAACACAGAGAGATGATTTCCAAGGTCACATGCACCTGTGAGATTCCAGGATCTCTATCTAATTATTTCATTCATTCATTCATTCCAAATGGATCCTTTGAGCACATATAAATTGCAAAGCCAGCATTGGGTCCTGGAGATTTGATCATGAATAAGATTCTTTCCCAGGAGAAGCCCATGACCAGGTTGGGAGACAGACATTTAGATGATTCAATGCAAAGATATCCACTTAATAATAGAAGAAACCAACTCGAGCTGTGGGGAAGCTGTGAGGAAGGGTGGACAGTTTTCACAAAGGAGAAGATGCTTGCACTGGGTTTTGAAGGATACATAGGAGTTTACCAGGCCAATTCAGATAGAGAAAGGATACATCAAGACACAGAAGAGCTTGTCTTAACCCAGAAGAATGGAAACAAGAAAGGTAGCACTGTACACAAGCCCCGGTCTTCCCACAGGAATGGTTGGGATACCTTGTAATCGACCCATCAAAATAAGGACAAAAAGTGGGACTGGAGGCACCCTTGGGGTGAAGGCATAAAAGACTTGTTATCAAAGAGTTTGGATTTTGTCCTGAAGACAATGACAAGGGAGTCACTGGGTTCTATTCACATTTTGGAAAGATCTCTCTGATTACAGTGGAGGGTGGCTTGGAGGAGACAAAAGCAAGCGAAACCAAAGAGGAGACTTGTGGTAAAGTTTTTTCTCCAGGGAAATTCGCTCTTTGCAAGAACTGTGGCTGCACGTTAGAATCACTTGGGGAGCTGTAAACAGGGATGTGACTCACCTGAGTCTTTCTTCCCTGTCCACCTAGGGTAAGGCCTTGACCTTGGGAGTCTGAAGGCCTCCCTGAGTAATTCTACTATGCAGCCATCAAGAGATCTTAAGGTCACTGTAATGCAAACCCTGGCATAAACTGGGTACACAGAACAATGGTTTTTCCCCCAAGACATTAGTATGGAAAAACCAGAGCCTGCCGCCCTTGGCTTTACACCGCTCTGGGGGAATGTGTTGGGATGAACGGTCAGCTTTTATCACAGAGTCAGGAAATGCATCAGCTTGAACATCAAGAAACCCGGTGCTGCCACTAAGGCTGGCACACAGCAGTAGACCTGGCAAGTCACCTGAGGGGAGCTGGAGCCACCTGGCTGGGGTGAGAGAAGGCCATGGGCTAGAATCTGAATTCCAGGAGTTAGGTGCAGAAGCAAGAAGTGTTTGTGGTCTAGAGTTATCCTGAGCCAACGGCAAGAGGGGTGCAAGGTAGCAGTCTTTTTAAATGAAGAGCAAGAGGAGGAGGAGGAGGAAAAAGGAGAGGAGAGTAATTAATAATAAGTGATAAGCGCTGCACCTGGAAGGCAAACCCTGTCCTCTCTCCAAAACACTTTGTCACACCCAGATGTAGATGTTCGAATCTTGGCAACAGAGACTTACCATCTGGCTTGCCACAGAAAAAGCTTGCTCTAGAAAAAGACCTCCCCAGCTTGTCTTAACCCAGAAGCATGGAAACAAGAAGGGTAGCACTGTACACAAGCCCCGGTCTTCCCACAGGAGTGGCCCTGCCTGCTCCTAGCATGGCCCTCTGCATCATTATATTCCTGTCCAGTCTGGTTCATGTTCCTCCTTGCTTAGGATGAGCCTACCGAGAAGTAGATGGGCAAAAACCAGGCTGGTGTGTTCCCAAGTGACGGTCTGCTCCCAGCACTGCTAACAGAAACTGTACAGGCTGAAGCAGTTGCCAATCCCATCTCAGAAGCAATGCAGGGGCCATGAGGAGGACATTCAGTCTGTTCCACCCAAGGCAGGGTGGACACAGTAGTCAGAGCATGGCCTGACCTTCATGCTGCTGCGGGTTTTCTAAAGCTGTTCCCACTCTCTCCTGCACCCAACCTCCCTCTCCATAAAACAACTGGCTGCATCCCTGCGCCTCCGCACCTCCCCTTTATTCCAGACCACTTGGCTCATAACTCTGCTAAGTCATCCCACGGGTTCGTCCGCTTGTCTGTCTTCTCTGTGGCTGCCATCCTCTTAAACTAACGGATGGCTCCTATCTCCTCTCTCCCGCTAAGCTCTGGACCTCTGTATCCAGCTTTCTACTCAACACCTCAAACCTGGCAGCCATGATTAGTATGTTATTAATTTGAGCTTGTTAGAACGTACACAGCCCTCAGTGCCGGGACTGCCCAAAGCACTTTATGGACTCAAAGCTTGAGCTTCACTCCTGCCTCACAATCCCATTTCCCTCCCAGGCTTCTCCAGGTCAGTAAGTGACATCTTCTCCACTCAGTTCTGTAAACTGGCATTCAAGGGATCAGCCTTCCTTCCCCTTTCCTGCACACTCCCTGGCTATAGTGGATGTGCTGGGGCCCCATCCATGTCCCCTCCAGATGCACCGTTCCCATGCACACCTCCCTGATGGCTTCCTTCTGTATACCCCTGATTTTTTTTCACTTAAGGGCTTCCTCAAATAAAACAATGTGCACCTTTTCACCTATAGTGCATGGCAGAAGTTCTAGGGAGTTCCCAAGAGTTGTTCTCGGTCAGTAGTAGATGGGAACTGATGGATAGACATCTCATCTCTGGAGGGACAACTCTGGGACATGAGCTGTGCCCCCGGGGTTAAGTCCAGTTGCACATGGAGGCAGCTTGTTTGTTGATGTGCCCTCAATTGGCTTCATCCCTTGATGGTCTCCCTTTCCCTGTTCTCCTACCAGGATCCTTGGAACTGCCTCCCCAACAGACTGCTTGTCTCTGAGCCTGCTTCGGAGGCAGGCCAAGTCAACAATATTCAATTGAACAATATCCTGAAAACAGTCACTCTTCTCACCTACGGCGACTGCCTTGTCCAAGGGTCCGAGGCACCAGCATTTCTCACCTAGACATGCGATATGTTCCTAACGAATCTTCCTAATTCTCTCCTGGCCTTCCTAGAGCCTGAGTCCACTCACGAGCCACAGTATACTTTGTGGAACAGGACGAGGGATTTACCTGCTCAGAGCCCCTTCATGTTTTCCCATCACACTTAGAACAATACTCCATGTGTTACCCAGGAACTTGGAGGCCTGAATCAATCGGGACTCTCCCATTCCCTCTCGAAGCTCTGACCCCTCGTCCCCCTACCTCACTCTAGTCCTTGAATGTGGTTATTTGGTTGCTGCCTGACAGCCACCTTGCCACCTGCTCTTCCTCCTGCCTGGAAAGCACTTCCCACTTTCCTAGGGGTGACTGGAACTTTCCCATCATTAAAAAATGACCTTCTCAGAGAGGCCCTCTCAGCCTGCGTGATCAGACATAATTCCCACTCCTCATCTCCTTTCCTTCATCCTGCTTTCTTCATAGCACTTTGACTATCTAAAATGTTGTGGGTTTGCTCAAGGGGACCTGTCTAATTCTCTGTACTCCTAGTACCTAGAGCAGGGCCCAGAACATATTCAAGGGACCAATCGGTATCTGTTGAGTATATGAATGAATAAATGATCAAATGAACAAACCATTTCCCTACTGGGCAATAGGCTCATGACACACTGAAGATATCAACCATGTGTAAGTCACTGAACAAGCAACGGAGTCTACAGAACAGCTGAGTCTGTGTTCTCCCCATCCAAGGCCACACAGCCCTTTGCCCTGAGTGTCCTGTCACAAGGGGGTTCTCCTTTCCCCGTTGCTGTTCATCTGCACCTGGAAGGTGCTTCGCTGCAGGCCTATCTAACCACCTGTCCTTGTGTTGTAGGCCTTACCTGAGGGGCAGACGGCTTCGTGGGACACAGCCAAGGAAGATGGAAACCGCAACAAGAATCGATATGGGAACATCATATCCTGTAGGTGCCCTTCTGGGATGGCTAGGCACCAGGCTTTGGGAACTCAGGGGAAAAAAAAAAATGTTCTTTGCCTAGAATTTGCTATCAAATAATCTGTGATGTTTTCACCTCTGGGCCAAGAGACTAGTGCAAGGGATGATGAGGCCTGAACAAAGGCATTGACAATACTCGTGTGGGGAGAAGAGGAAGAGAGAGGCTGCCCCAGTACTGACGGTCCCACGTGGGCAACACGCAAGTATCACCACTACCCAGTATCGGTACGCACAGCCTTCAAAACACCCTAAATACAGGGGGAGCAAAGTTATCTCAGACCAAACACCGAGCAGGTATTCTGATGAGAACAGGAGTCCACAGCAGCCCATTCAGATTCAGTGTGGCCACCCTGGACCTTTGGACATCTTGCCAATTGTGTGGGGAATCCATTCTGGTCTCAGATCTCAGATCTTTGAGCCAAAGCGTGGGAACAAATAGGATCCTGAGTGACATATTATTTCTAGCACAGTTTAGAGTTTTGTTTTGTTTTGCTTTGACTGTCTAGACATTGCCTAAGAAAAACTTGAAGAAAGAAAGAATAAGACACAGGCAGATTGTAAAAGAAGAAAGAGGCAGAAGTTTTAGCTTAGCTGTTTCCTGTGCTGATTTTAGGAATGGGCTATGAATGGTGGAACTAATCAGAAAACATTTATAATTTGTCTCTTGGAAGATAGCAATGCAGACAGCAAGATTTCTTGCAAGTGATGTGTTGGGAAGAGATATTCAAACATCAGCAAATACATATTAAGACTTAGGATGGGTAGGCCTCCTTTGAATGGTACTGCACTGGGCACTGGGAGATGCAGTCTCTGCTCTGTGGTCAGGTGGCTGCTTGCTCGGACTAGTCCCTAGCATCATTTTTTTTTTTTTTTTTTTTTTTTTTTTTGTGCACAGAAGCACTGTGCCCTAAACTATCTGTCTTATCTCCATTCTCTCTATCAGATTGTGAATTCAGACAGCGTCCACTAAATCATAGGGTGCAACCTTAAGCAAGGACCCTAGTCCTTAGTCTCTGTAAAATCTTTTTTACAATGTCTTCCTCCTAGGCATGTTGCACAGACATGAAAACAAAACAACAACAACAACAAAAAAAAAAACTATGACCAGAGCACCCTGAACAGCCACGTCACCAGGCCTAAACTTTAGGGGGCCGAAGGTCAGAAGCCAAGCTATTGCCCCACAGCTCAGCATCAACTAAGCACATGAGGCTTGCAGATGGGCATGTGGGACAGGACTGGGGGAGAGGAGTGAGGCCATTCGAGGAGGGTTCGCTCTTGGCTGTCAGTGCTGTGCACTCTCCTCTTTGCTTGAGTGCCCCCTGGTCTCACCCGAGCTCTGCCCTCACTGCATCTCCGCCAGGGATTTCTCCATAGCAGGGGAAGGATGCTGTGCCCAGGCTCCAGGTAGCCTGCCCACGCTGACCAATCAGTGTCCCCGAGAAGCAGTGAAATCCCCAGCTTCCTGGCCGATCCCCAGAAGTGCATGTGCCACTGACTTTTCCAGAGTTCCCACAGGGATTTGGCTGCAGTGGTCCACCCTGGTGACGGGGCTTGACAGCCCACCCGCTCCCTGTGGACCTCTCCTCCCTACGGGTGTTCCCTGTTCCTCCTAAGAACCTGCTTGCCTGGCCTCTCAGTCTGGCACCCACTTCGGGGGAAACCCAAGCGGAGGCAGAGAGAATTCAAGTACCGTAATGACACCACTTTGTTGGGTTTAAATAAACCTGAATCTCATTTCTCATTTGAAGGTCAGTGATGCAAAGGATCAGGGGCAGAGCCAGTCTGCACTAGGTATGGCGCCCCCCGTCAGCCAGCCAACTCAGAAAGCAGAGAGACACAAAGGGGAAACATAAAAGGAGGGGAGGGGTGCCGTAGGGGGGCGTTCTGGAATTGAAATGAGAAAGGTAAAAGAGAAGCAGCCCCTGGAGTGGCGAGTGTTCCTGCCCTTGTATGTGTCCCTCCCTGAGGCCAAGCCTGCCATGCCTTGATAAATAGAAATATTCTTGGCTCAAGAAAAAAAGAAAGAAAAACGGGTGTGATTAGCATCTTAAGGAACCCAGAGCACCGAGAGGCCAGAGTGGAGGACAAAGGCCCAGGCCGAGGAGAACAGGAAAGACTACAGGGGAAGGGAGGGTGGGCGGTGCCTGCAAATGAACAGAGAGAGAAACCTTGGTGACACCAGCCCTTTCTTCCAAATGATTCTGTTTAGAATTTAGCCATTGAGACAGTGGGGCTTCCAGGGGGTGGGGATGGAAACAAGTGAAAGGCAAGGAAATGAATTGAGAATAAGAACAAAGAGTCCTTTGCTCTCAGGTAGCTCCAGGGCCCAGACAGGGGCTCAGGTGTGCTGAAGCATCCCCTGTGTGCGCGATACTGGCGCTTCCTGGGCCAGCAGGAAGAGGGTGACACAAAGAGGAAGTGCTCACTGGGAGGCTGCAGACTTTACTAAATGAGGCTCCCCTCCAGGATCAGCCCCAGATCCCAGCAGGAAACAGAGGGTGCCCTCAGAGAGGAATTTGAAGGGAGATACTCAGCAGACCCTTTCTACAGACACAATGCAGGAGAGACCTAGCAAGGGAGAGTGCAGTACCTGGGGTAAACAGGGAGAGGTGACCAGAACCCAGAGAAAGAAAGACAGCCATTGTGGTGACCCCACCAATGGCAGCCACCAAGGGACAATACCCTGACCCTGCTGTCCTCCCTCTGCCTACTCCTCTGTCACTGCTTTCTATGGGCTGAGCCTAAGTCAGAGGATCTGGAGCACCTGGAAACTCCTTAGAAATGCTCATCCTCCACCCCTACTGAATCAGGAGCCTGGGGCAGGGCCCAGTGTTTGTATTTTTGGAAGCCCTCCAGGTGAGCCCGATGTTTGCCGAAGTCTGAGGATCTCCAGTCCTACCTCTAGAGCTCAGCCAGGTAAAGAAGGGGCACAATATGACCAGCAGGTTTACCCAATCTGGGAAAAGCCACTGGGCCCAGGTGTCCTGGAGTCCTGGTTAGGCAGACAGAGCCAAGTCCTAATCCCAGTTCTGTCATCTATCTGTGCCTGACCTTCAGCAAGGTCCCCTCCTTTCTCAGACCCTCAGTGTCCCCTCTGCAAGGGGAGTTCAGGTCAGATCTCAGGTTAAAGAGGCCTAATGAAGATGAACGATATGGAATCTGAATCTGCTGTGGAGTCTGAGTCAGAGATTTATGAATTTACATAAGGTCTAGTCTAGTCTCTGAGTTCATGGGCAAGGAGAGAAGGTGCAGAGAGAAGACTGGCTGCCCAAGGTCATGCGTCAAGCCTGAAGGACAACTGTGACCAAAGCTCTCATCTGTGGCTTAATGCTCCTTGCCAAGGAATTCTCTGTGTCAAGATGGGTTTAGGCTTGAGGGGGAGAAGGTGCTGCCAAGGGCCAACCTCCGGGAACAGGTACTCCCTTCCCGGAGCAGGTGTGTGATGTTGTGCACAGAGGAACTGGACTCCCAGGAGGAACCCAGATTCAGGACAAACCCAGAGGCCTTTACTCACAGCAGGTTTCTCTGTGGATCCCTGAGGAGACAGTGTGGGATGACACAATGGGTACCTTATCCGTTGCTCTGGGGTCTTGGCCTCCATTCTTTGCCATCTCTGAGGGTGGCCCTGGTCTGTGCCCTGCAGACGTCTCCTGGCACAGAAATCACTGGATTCTGCCCTTTCCCCAATACTCCCCACTTCCATACATGCTGGTCCCGATTCCAACCGCCAACCCGTGTATCTCTCCGAGGACCTATTCTGGGAACTGAGCCTCCTTTGGGTGTTTGCAGGACAGACAAGAAGTGCCAGGAAATTAAATGTCCCCCTCCAAAAGCTGCCCTCGGTCAATGCCTGATAGGTGCATAAGTACCCAGCTCCCTGTGCCCTGAGGAGGAACAGCTTGGAGGTGCATGTTCTGTACTTTCTCTCTGACCCCCTCAGCAGGATAGAGCCCCAGTTCTTCACAGTGGTCACTGCTGGGTGCCACACCCCGGGGGCTTCCTTTTCTCTTCACCTCACTTCCTTCTCTCTTTCCTGGTGTTCCCTGGGATCATGTCTCAGATCACCTAAAAGCACCCAAATCCTTGGCTCAGGTTCTGCTTCTGAAGGAATTCAATTAGGAAACCTTCCTGTCTTCTTGGAAAGGCCCCTCAGGGGGCCATTGCCTGGTCAACCTGCTAAGGAGGTGGGTCAGGGGGACGAGTGCCCCTCCGGCTCCTCTCCTGAGCTTTCCCACTTCTACGCCTCAGCCCCCTCCCTGTCCCCAAACGGGAGCACTTCCTCCCGGAGGCCCAACTTCAGGAGGGGATGCAGAGGAGGTGCACATTCGGAATGCTGGGCTGTCTCCGTGTCATGCCCAAGCCACGCTCTCTCTTGATAATGGTAATTCAATCAAGATTGAGTGCGCAGACCTTTCGCTTCAATGGGGTACATGGGCCGTCTCCGCGGAATTACCCGTCTCCTCCCAGTCCACTCCTGCAGGAGGACAGCATTAACATTTCCAATACTTCTAGGAAATGGCTTTTCAGCTCCACAATTCATTGTAATGAGTCAAATCTCTTTTCCCTGAAAAATGGTCCCTTTTCTTTATCCTCTGCAGTGCCCAGAAGACAGGAAGAAAGAACGTCAAGTATCCAAATGATAGGCTCTCCCCAGCCCCACCTCTTTGGAGTGATTCTCTCTTGAAGCGGGTGTGCCCTGAGATGACTGATTTATTGGGTCACAGCTGATGATGGAGAAAGGGCGGGAGAACTCTAGTTTGTCCTGAGTTAGAACTGTGTAGTGGGCGCCGGGTGGGCCTGGGTCTGCCATGGGGTGGGGACCAGTGTTGGAGACTGAGATATGGGTGGAAGTGGGGGCTGGAGGAGCCTGGCACCAAAGGGTGGGCAGGCAGCTGGTCTCAGGGCTCAAGGAAAGACAAGGACCCCACCACTCTGTATGGAAGCTTGTAACTTCTCCTGAGTTATAAG